GGGGGGGTGGCGGCTTTCGGATGAAAATGGGTTTGTGGCATTTGGACGGTTTTTAACGGATAACGTTGTTCCAGAAATGACTAATAAACGCTCTGCCACCAATGAGAGCCTTTATCTAATCAGTTTCTTGAGCGTTTTTTTTTTTTTTTTTTCCCAAGCTGGGGCCATTTTCTTCAAATAAAATCCTCGAAATAATTCAACATTGATACTCGGTTTGGAAAAGTGTTAAATTTGGTCATATTTTTCCAAGCATTGATTAAATACTAGCCTTCCATCAATCTGTTCATCCTCTACTCCTATCTATTAATATTTGAATTCATTAATCTCTCCATTCGTATATTTGCCCAACAATCGTTGTGTCCATACTGTCATCAATTTATCGGCTACCCATCTATCCCTGAATATTGCTTCAGCCATCTTGTCATCTATCACTCTTTTTTTATATATATATATATATATCCATTCATCATCCATCCATCTATCAATCCATTAAACCATATCTACCCCATTAATCAAGTTTTCCCTCCATTTGTTCATTATCTAACCAGCTGTTTATCCATCCACCACTCAACTTGTCTTTCCATCAGTGGAAAAATACTTATAAAATGTGTTAAGATTACAAGAATCTACAGAAATTTAAACGACTACTAAAGGGCCACACTGAAAGTGAGACCTTTAGTAGTTGAAGAACCAAAGAAGGAAATCTGACGGTGAAAAACACTGCAAGAATTTTTTGAAATAAATGCCTCACCGTGGCAAACTCTGTTTGCTTTTGCAGCGGACGATCCCTTTGACGATTTCTTTGGAGGCCACAATCGTCAAAGAGGTGCGCACAGGAGCCGGATGGGCGGGCCGCTCTTTGGGTTCGGCGGCTTGCCAGCATTTGGGCCTAGCTTCTCAGGGTTTGAATCAGGTCTGCACATCCTTTACGGTTTTTGTGATTTACTTCGTATTTTATTGAAATAATGGGCATTTAAAAAGAATTACATTGTCTGTTAACTGAAATTAATACTTTTTTTTTTTTTTTTTTTTTTTTTTTGCCATTTTTTAGGTTTTAGCTCCTTTGGCGATATGGGTGGCGGAGGATTTACTTCCTTTTCTTCCTCTTCGTTCGGAGGCAGCGGAGGAGGGATGGGCAACTTCAGATCTGTGTCGACCTCTACCAAGATTGTCAATGGCAGGAAAATCACCACAAAACGGTGAGTGTTGAACTCGTGGGTACAGTACCTTGGAGTACATTCATATTTTGAACTTTTCTACATCTTGTAACGATACAAAGAGACTTTTATATTTTTAAGATTCAAAACTCGTCAGATGAACAGTAAGGAAACATGTTTTCCTGTACTTTGATGCCAAACATTTAAAATTTTGGTATATAAAAAAAAAAAAAAAATTAACTGAACCATGAAATATAAAATTAGAAATAAACTGTCCTGAAATGTAAACTGTGCAGAATATAAACTTGCATATGCATTACATTAGTTGATATGATCACTAAATGTGTAAAAATACAAAAAAAAAACCCCCAAAAAAACAGTTGCATCTGCTGTGAAAGGTTGTGCTACAAAGTCTTGACTCTGGGAGTCCACACTTTTCAGATTTCCTCATGCTATATGAAACTCATACATAATCAAACTCTGAAAAGGATTATTAAGTGTGACTATTTTTAGAAGATGTTTTATTTTCTGTAATTGTTGCTCCCAGGTTCCTAAAGAAGCTGCTGTCTTTCTGTGTGTGTTTGTGTGTGTGTGAACAGGATTGTGGAGAACGGCCAGGAGCGGGTAGAAGTGGTGGAAGATGGTCAGTTAAAATCCCTTACAGTTGATGGTAAGGAGCAGTTACTAAGACTGGATAACAAGTAAATATCTCGCCACAAAATTTGACCAACATGCAATTGTCTCATCTGGAAGAAGAAAAAAAACAAAACAAAACAAAACAAAAAAAAAAAGTCTCTTCTCTCTGTTCCTCCTGCATCTCATTCCCAAAGAAGAATTTTCTCATGTTAGCTTAGTTGCCAGGGAGAATAGAGACATGTTTTCAGTATTTGTATATTTGTATTTATTCCATTATTTAGGGGGACCAGCTTGCTGGGATTTGTTTTTATTTCCTGAATTTATTGAATTGTACTTTTCTGCCATAAACGCTAAGTTGGCTGTGTGCTGTATTTTTTTTTTTTTCCTCCTTCATTCAGGGTGTATATCGTCTTTAGGTGTTGTGGCAGAAAAAAAAAAAAAAAGATGCTGTATGTTTAACTTGCGCATGTCATTTTTGCTCCCTTTTATTTGATTAGTTTAACAAGTGAATGAGAAGCTTAACCACCTCACATTAATGTCTTTAACATAAACTCCACTTTGCTAACCTGTTGGCTATTGTTCATGCGAGTGTAATAAGATTTGTGTTCATTAATAAATTAATTATAACAACATGCATATTTTTGCTCATTTTCTCTGTTTGGAAGCGTGTTTGGTTTGTTTCTGCATGACAGAAGGAGGGGGCTACCTTTATGATTTCACATTAACTGCTTCGCCGGCTCAGACTGCGAATTTAAACGGCGACACCAGCTAAAGGGGAATCGCTGAGGACTCTTTGTTCTCCACGCAGCTCAGATTCGATCAATAAAGTTTCAGTTTGTGAAACGTCATGGAAACCCCACTGCCCTCATCTGGCGTCTGTGTGCGTTTCTTGTGGCTTGAGTGGCTTTGAATCATCTCTGCTCGTGGATGTGTGAGTTCACCTGCTTAATACGGCCGATCGCAACCGCACTAAAAAGGAACCACGCCGGCTGCTTCCTGTTGTACACTCACTCACCACCCATCACACAGCTCACCGTGTGTATTATGTAACTTACTAATGCCTCAGTGACTCACATTAGGGTTTGGTGCCTGTCTGTTCTCACTCAAGTAACCCTTGTCATTGTTGGATGCGTCTTCACTGGAATTTCATCTATCTTCAATCTTGGAGCTTTTTTTTTTCTTTTTTTTTTTTTTCCTGTTCCCTGATTGATATATTTCCATTGAACAAGTCAGCTGATTTTTAAAATGTCCTCTTCTTATTCACAGTTCTGTTGGTTTACAGCGTTTACTCACCAATAGAACCCATTAAGTGCAGAGACACTTAGGTTTTTGTGGTGATTGCTGCTAAAAATGCATCACCAGCTGAAGCCTCCGAATGCTGAATATCCCTGGATCTCATTAAAGGAGGATAAAATTAAATTCCCTTAAATATCCACCAGAATTCCACGTTTTATTAAAGGTTTAAGCATTTTTGAGGTACGTATGTGAATGAGTGTGGAAAGATTTTCTAAATGTTTTCCCGGTCTCTTTCTTTGTTCCTCTCTGCATCCATCAACATCCGTCCGTCTCTGAATTATTCATCCAACTGCCCATGCGTCTGTCTATTCTTTTGTCTACTCTTCATCGCTTTGTTCAGTTATCTATCTATTCCTCCCATCCATCCTTCCATTATTCGTTTATCTGGCTACAGATTCATCCTTTTTTGTCCATTATCCATGTCTTTATTCAGCCTTCAACTTGTTTCCATTATTTCACCCATTCATCCCTCCAAATATTGTTCATCCATCTACCAATTTGTTTTTATCGGTTATTCATCCAACCTTCCACTTATTCTCACATTATCTGTCTATTGTAATTTTCTCAATTATCCATAAGTCCATCCATCCCCTTGTGTCCTGTCCTCTGTCCTTGTTTTTTTTTCTCTAGGTTCCAGATTTAAAGCCTGACCAGAATGAGCTGGTCAACCCTGCAAATCTTAAACCAATTTATCTACTTTGCTTTTTTTTTATTTTATTTATTTTTTTTTTACATTTTCCCTCTGCCTGCTTGCAAAAGAAAAAAAAAACATATCCAAATAGGACTGCTACACACATTTAATTTAAATTAATAAAACAAATCAGCTTGGGTAAAGAAATGGTACAATCCGTCCCACAATGCTTTAGTATAAAATCCTTTCAAAATGATGCATCTGGTCATGAAAATTCATTCATTTCTAAACTAGACTAAACCCCCAATGTTGCTGATTTGCTGCTTAATCTCTTTAATGTCTTGTGAAGTGTAAAATGAAGATGTACACGAGATAAGACACTACAGGAAATCGTAGCATTTCCTGTATTAAACCATAAAGCTGGAGTCATGGACACTGCATTTGTTTTACAGCTTGCTCAGAGGAACACACAGAAAAACATGAGTGTTCCTAAAGGAATGTGCTCAAGGCTAGTTTATTTGAAGAGGGCCCACTTCAGTTTTTGAGACATGTCAAGCAAAGGAAGCGGTAAAATCGGGGTGAGGCCTGCAATGAGTCAGACTGAATCTGCAGAGCTTCCACTTGGATTTCTAACTTTTTGCATATCTGATTCCAAATGTGTCTGGCAGAGCTGGTGCTTAGATTAACACACAATCTATTTCAGTTTGACCTCTTTAGATTTCTCTTATGAGATTAACTACTAGACTAAAAGCTTTCAATTATAACCCTTCAGGTTGGCTCCGTCGCCTCTTTCCCGTCAGTATAATTTTATTTAAATGTGACGTGTTTTTTTTTTTTTGTTTTTTTTTTTTAACCCTGTATTTTAGAGCCCCAGAATCAATCATTAAAGAGATGGAAGAACGACACAGGGTGTAGGTGTCGGATTTGTTGTGCAATAGCGCCATCTTCCGGTCTTCTCAACCTTCCTCTCAATTTGAACAGTATTACCATTTTTGGTGCGTTTAGCATGTTAACAGAATTAGAAATAAATAGAAAATGTCGAGATCCTTAAGGATATGTATTTTCACTGCACTATTAACATTATTTTGAACTTCAAAATAAGTTCAAAACAGCAGAATAGCGTCGACTTCGTTACAATTTGTGGTTACTTTAGCCACCTCTGGTTATTTCACTCAATAAAATGCGAACCTCTTGTAACCAAAAATGCACAACATTGAAGCCTAAACAGTTTGTTAAAGTGAGACTATTTTCGCTAGAGTCATAGGCAGAAAATGTAATTTAGAAATCTGATGTTTGTTGTTGGTAAACAGAACACAGACATCCGCAAATATTCATGAAAGAGGACATAATAGTTGATAACATAATTATTACAACAAATATTACTGATTGGGAAAAAAACAACAATTTAAATGTACAATCATAACACATTTATTTGTTTAACATAAAAACATTGGGTGGTTTAAAAGTGTATCTCTCGTGACCACTAGATGTCATCATTTGTATGCAAAAAGAAACTAATCCAAAACAGGCAAAACTACCATTTAGGAAGAGAAATCACAAAACCCTGAACTCGGCTGAACTCAATTTACTACGGAAAGCAAGTCTGAAGAAACACATTTTCAAAAAGTGTTTTAAAAGTGTAAGCCAATGTCAGTTAATTAGGTACAAAAATTGCTACTCTTCAGCAAAATAATTTTTTTTTCTCCTGTGTATAGAAAAACAGTAACCAAGAAAACTCTTGCTGCTCTTGCTATTCCCTCTTCATCCATCTGCTCCAGTATGACACACACGTCTGATTTGTTGCACCGCCCCCGTCCTCGCCTCACCTCGCCTCACCTTATACCCCCCACACACAGCCTTTTCCTCCCACAAACACAGAAACACAGTCTGCTTGACAGCTTAGCACGACACCAGAGCCTGCAGCCACTGGCTATTTTATGAACGATGGGAAAAGATAAGCCGCCTGCTTCTCCTCGGCCGTGTCTGAACAAGGATTTTATCTGTCAGTGCTCAGCAGTGGGGTCCCCGTCAGCAATGACACCAGACATCCTGAAACCCAGCGATGGCGGACTGTTGAATATAATCTGGCTGCAGTTGTCATCCAGGGTTAGCCCTCCTTTGGAGCTGTGATTTATTTCAGACTCTCTCAGTCCATGATTCAACCTCCAGTCTGCTGCGTGTAACTCTGTAAATGTCTCTCTCGTATAGATTTAGTGTTGAGGTGCAACTTGGTGTCTGTGTTCATGCCTGCATTACGGCTGGCCGCGTTATTTAACCTGGAGACAAATGACAGGTGCTCTCGGCACAATAGCGAGCAAATGAGACGTCTTACTGCTTGAAGGGTGTTCACTTTTTAAATAAAGTCTTTGATCCAGAAAATAATAGACCACTTATTTGAACATTAACTAAAACCCTCATTATCGCTTTAGCTCTTTGATATTGTCTTTGTTTAATTTGATTAAATGCTGCTGGATTATGCAACTTGGTAGCAGAAGAAGAAACCCTATTACCGAGGTAGCAGGATGCCTAATAGATGCAAATATTGATCCTCAGGAGTGGCGGAGGCTGGAATGAAGCAGGCAGCCTTGAAGTCACAAACGTTTTTGGCTTAATCCAGCCATCCAACGTCACCTGATGGGATCGTGAAACAAATATGGGTTGGAATTGAGAGGCAAGCCACCAATTTTCCTGCTGTCTGGAGGTCCACTGAGAGCCGCTGTCTCCTTGTAGGGTCGACTCTTGGTTGTCCGGTTTAATAAGCTGGTTCGTAAACTCTGAAAACAAAAGGCTCTCTGGTTTGAGGTTAAAAAGGCATAAGTAACCTTAAAGTGTGAGCTTTTTTCATTGAGAAGATGAACACATTTTCTGTGGATCGTTTCAGAATAAGTAAGAGAAAAAAATCCTTTTGTGAGGAATAAATCAGACTTGGTGTCACGATGAATGACCTTGGGTAAAATGTTTTGTTTAAAACCTGGGCATCATGACAGTGTTTTGCTAGAACTGAAAACAAGTTTTTACCTGAAGCACTCAAAAAGGACATTACAGCCCATTTGAAAGACACGTTATACATTCACAAGCCAGCTTCCTTTGTATGTTTCCTTGGTAGAAAGCCGATGATTTTAGATCATCTTGGTGAGGTGAAAACATGTTGAAGATCAAATAAAAAACAAAAAAACAAAACAAAGACTTTGGTGACTGAATGTGGTATTGCTGCCAGTTCCAGCCATCCCAGGAACTGATGATCCGCTTTTTATGTTCAACCACAGGTCAGATAATCACTGCGTGGGCAAAACAACTTATTAACACCGGGTAAAGTGCGTAGAGTGGTTCTGGATAGAAGAGTAGCCCAGGTAACATGTCGCATCTAAAATGGGCAGAAAACGATCTCTCCAAACGTAAAACATGCTGAACGTTGAAGCAGACTGGCCACAGCGTCAGAAGACAACAGCTAAAAACAGGAGCCTCAGGCTACAATTAACACAGGCTCACCAAAATGTGAAAAGACTGGGAAAAAAAAAACAAAAAAAAAAACATTTTAGCAGCAAGACTAAATGGTTGAATTAATCTTGTATCAACATTTCATGCTGGTGGTGGAAGTATAATGGTGTGCCAGATATTTTCTTGGCATACTTTGGACCTTTTACTACCAGATGAGCATTATTTACACACTACAGTCTGAGTATTGCTCCTGTCAATATCCATCCAGCCACAACAGTTATTACGTTTCAACAGAACAATGCACTGGCACAACACCTTGATCATCTCAAGCTGGTTTCTTGAACATAAAGATAAATTCTTCTCAAAGAGGCCTCCATGCTTGATTGCAGTTGTTGCTGCTCAACCAGTTATTAGGTTTAGTGGCCAATCACTTTTCCACACAAAGCCACGTGGAAGTGTAACAAACATGTAGAAAAGAGGGCAATCACTTTTCGCACCACTCCGTAGACACAGCAGAGGTTTAATCATGCTCTAGACTCTGCTGTGTTTTATATATGTGTTCATGTTAGTTATATTTCTTTTCCAAGCTGGTGCAAACCCTCCTTTAATGGGACCGGTTTCAGGAAGGCGAGCATCTGGCTTCCTTTATTCTCCTTGGCGCTGCCTTAATTACACAACACAATGGCGATCCGATCTGCCTGTAATCTTCTGGTATAATAACCCCTCCATCCCCCACCCCCCCCCGCCCCCAACCACAGCCACCTCACACCATTCCCTTGCCTGCCACTAATTCAATATAAATGTAAATTACCTAGAGAGAAGAATAACCAAATCTCATTTTATTTACATGACTAATCACAATCAAAGCCAGGCAGATGAAAAATGAATGAAATATGTGCCTGGAGTTTGATTGAAGGAAGGGGTGAGAGTGGGGGCGGGGGGGGGTCTGTTTACCTTAAGGGTACCTGGTTTATATCATCTCTGTTTTGTTTTTTTCTTCTTCTTGCTTACATCAATATACCTTTCGGACTCACGCCTAACTTGCAGTAATATAAGTTTGTATCTCTATTCCTGTGTCTGATTGTATTCAAACAGCCAAGGGCATCAGAAGGCAATATGTTTTTCTCTTTTGGAACAAACACATCTCATGTCAAAAGGGACAGTGGAGGAGGAGGGGGGGACGACGACCTTATGTTGAACACCTCGGGCAGTCCAACCAGACAGCGATAAGCTTCAAGGTGTGATTCATTCCCTCTCTGCTCACACCCACAGATATCGCCCCCCAAGACCCGCTTGAGGAGGAGTTTCGCAGCCGCAGACAAAACATGCTCCCCGGTTTGGGCCTCCACCAGCGCTACCTGAGGAACTCCGCCCAGAACCCCTCCGAGGAAGAGGAGGAGCACGGCCCGCAGAGCCTGGGACTAACGAGAGGTCCGCCCTGCTGCCACTGCAGGCCTGATTAATTACCCACACACAAGAGCTCTGCCTTAAAGACTCCTAATGAGCACGGCTAATTGTCTGCTGTTGTGCCTGACGGCCTCACAAAGCGCAGTGACGACGTCTGATTGGCAGATGTAAACACCGAGGACAGAGATGTTCATTAGCCAGCTCTGTTTTACGTCGCCGTTAACGACCAGAGGTCAGAGTCGGCCCCCTGTTTTCCTTCACGGGGTCAGGAAGTCAGGCACAAAAGCTGAGCAATTACACACGGCCGCCGAGCGTTTTTTTATTATTTTTTTTTTTTTACACGCGGCGGCTTCGTTAGCCGAGGGGGGAACCTTTAATTTCAACGTGCATAGTTCCTGCCGAGATACAAACAAAGAGCCTGATTCTCAGTCGCGCTCTCTCTGTCTTCTCAGGGAGATTTTAACTAGCATTCCTGTCTGGAACCCGGAGAAAATGAGGGCAAAATCAACAGCGAGGTCTGACGAGTCCCCCACTTCCCCCTCCCAAAATAAAGAATATAAAAAATGCAAAATTACAAATTTAACAAGCTAAACGTGGTGCAGTTTACTAACAGTTCATTAATCATTCACAAAACCATGTCGCCATGCTGCAAAATATTATGGATGACCTATGGTTGCTTTGATGAGTCTTATGTGTTCTGCAAGATGTGGATCATCTGAGGGGGGAGGGGGGGAGCTGCATCTGGATCACCGATGCAGTTCAGTTTTTTGGATAATGAGAATAATTCCAGTTAATAACTATACGTTCTCAATTTTAGCACTAAAGAAAGACCCTCATAGTGTGATTAAAATCCAAGAAAAAAAAAAAATGCTTCCTTCAGTTGCAACATCTGCATTCCTGTTTCCAAAATTATAATCTTTTTTTATTATTATTAATTGCCAGCAAATTACTTGCAAACATATTCATCCTACTTTAACAAATGTCAGTGTGCAAGATTTTTTTTCAAAAAATTGAAATATATGATAAATGGTATTCAACTAGTTTTCCTCCAATACGCCGAAATAAAATATAGAGTAACAAACTGCATGCAAAAGTAGCATAACTAACCTCAGTATAAATACATTTGTTATATGTGGATCTCATAAACAGCATCATGAAGACCAAGAGCCACAACAAGCAGGTCATGGATAAAATGGCTGAGAAAAAGACACATATATGTGAAACAATATTCCAAATCAAACAGTTTATGGCTGTCCATCTCAGCTGATTGGCAAAAGAGAGAGGCTGTTGCAACTCTGGAAAAACAGCAGAGAAGAACATCTGTTAAAACTTGAAAATGGATCCTCACAGATTTCCTCATTTTCAGTCAATTATTTTGAAAAAAAAAAGGAATGGGCAAAAGTTTGAGTTTCTGAAAAGCAGGTAGAGACATTCACTAAAGGGTTTGCTGGTGTAATTGCAGGAAAAGGTTTTCTGCAAAATACTCGAGGGGGCTGAATATAAATTAACCACATCTTTCAATCTTTTACTTGTAAAAAAAAAAAGAAAAAGAAAAATGTCTTGAAGACTCAGTGTAATTTTTCTTAAATTCACAATTACTCTCTGTTTTGTGATACTCTAGCACATAAAATCCCAATAAAAATCAGTTAACGTCCGTGGATGTCAATAATTTGGAAACTTTTGGTAGGTGTAAATCATTTTGGGGTACGCTGTTTGTAACGGGGTAGTTTAAGAGTTATTAAACAATGCCCTCATTTACTGACACTATTTTTCTTTGCTGTTTTGTAGGACATGTGGACACCAAGAGGAAGAAACTGTGGCTGAAGGAGGCGGAATCCAAAAAGAAGCGAGCTCCTCGGCATTTCCCTCGTTTCAGTGGCTTTGGCACCTATTTTTGAACAGTTCTCGGTTACATTTGGCAGATGTGCCCTCAGCTGTATGTGGCATTAGTTTGTTTCGGCTAAAATTCAGAGACCCTACTCCTCTGCTGCTGCGTCATAGTTCCCTTTTTTTTTCTATTAGCTGCAGCAAAGAGAATTGTGTCTCTCCTGCTTGTATTAACCAAAACCATTCTCTCCGAGTCCTCCGCTTAATATTTAGATTTGTACAGCATTCGTTGTAGTTTACTGGTTGGCAGTGGTGGTTCTTGCATGAACGGAGCCCGAGCTGAGACCCAACCAATTAAAGTGTGGGAAATCATCTATATTCTGAGATAGAGTAAATTGCAATGGATTTCCACACAAAGCATGTAAAAGTCTCCCATTCTCCAGCAGGAAGCAGGAGACACCAGCTCTGAATCGAATGTGTACACGAATAAAAGCAATAGAAGACTCGTTCAAGGTGCAACCGCGAGATTTTCAGGTTTTAATTTAATGCTATGTTTTTTACCTGATGGTTGTGTGCTCCCCTTTCCGACTCAACCCTAGGCAACTGGCCATGTGGCCCACATCAAAAGCTTTATATATATATATATATATATATATATATATATATATATATATATATATATATATAAAACATGCATGGGTTTGGCCTTGAAGATTTGCAAATAAAACACACACACAACCAAAAAAATCAAAAATCAAAATGAATCTTTTCTGATTGAGCTTTATCGGTTGCTTTGTGCGTATTTGAAAAGATACAGGTGTAAGGAGATTGACAGGAGCAGCTCTGTTTGAAATTAGCAGAAAGTTTCTGACACTGGACACAGCATGTGAGAGTCAGTGAAGGTCAAACCATTTAGTGGATCCATCTTTAATAGGAGACGAAGAGAGAAGACTGGAAAATGTGAGCGGTACAAAGGCTTAAAGCTTTGGACAGTATTAGAAAATGATTAACTTGTTCAGCTCAGTTGAATCACATTTTTTTTTCCCCTCAGCATGAAAGGACACGATTACCGCTCTTAAATGCTACTTTAGAGAATTAATTGTTTGTGAATTCATTGTATTTGTAATAGTTTTCTCTCAAGAAACGTTTTCCTTATTTGATGACTCCTGACAAATCCAAGAGAAATGTTCATTTTTTTATGGACTCTCGTGATTAAATGCTTAAAGAAATCATAACCTGAGTTTTTTTTTTTCTTCTCATGTTTTGGATAATTGTTGTAACTGAAAGACTTAAAATGACTCATTGTTATTGTTTCTGGCAAATGCCGACATATTTTTTATTTAAGATGTCCTAATGCATCATGACGAGATTTCCTTTGGAAGTTAAACAGGCCCACAGCATCATTGGTCCTCCACCATACTCAACAGTGGAGATAAGGTGCTTTTCCACAAACTGATGCTTGATTTTACTCCGCACTCATGGTTACTCATCAAACGCATCAAGAAACACTGTCTTGTGTTGCAAAACAACTGCTGACAAACTTACTGAAGAGGAAGAGCTGAACCTCAGGGCCGAGGCGAATCGATCAACATTTTCATCGCTCACATATAATGATACTTTGGTAAAAACAAATCCATTGCACAAATAAATCTTAAATAAAAAACAAAAATTATGCAAACATTGCACATGCCATTTAACAGCATAAAGAAGATTAAAATTTTGTGTTTCGGGCACTTTCAAGGTTTTGATTACAATTAGTGCCATTAGGAAATCTGTGAATTTCACAAATTTGTTCTTAATGAAAGATTGGCAAGAAGACAGGAAGGAAATGAAACCCAAATGAACATCTGTGGCAGAAACCTACGTCTGCATGCCGAACACATCATTCCTATGGTGGGACATGGTGGCGGCAGCAGGATGAAACGGGGGCAGCTTAACCTTCCACCTGACAATTATGCATTTCAATGTGTTGGTTTATCAGAAAAAAAAATCTCAGTAAGTTGTCACAAATGTGTAAAAGTTCAAGGGGCATTAGTACTTTCACAAGGAATTTATGTGGTTATTTGCGTCTTTTTACATAGTCAAACTTTCAAAAACATTTTTATTTCACATGCGTAAGTTTCTCTGTGCTGTCAAACAGTTTATTATTTCAGAGTCATCTGCTCTTATCGCATGCATGGATGTTTACCAGCTGCTCTCCAGGGAACAGTAACTGAACGGTGCCAGAGACGAATCACCCCGAATTTCCCTGTCACAAGTGCAAAGCGCCTTAGAAACAGCAGCATTCCCACAGTATTTTGAATGAGCCTGCCTTGCAGTAGTTTGTATTATTCATGCGGCAGAACTCTTGCACATGACCCGGCAACTCATTTTGCCCTTATTCCCATGCAGCCAGCGGTCTCAGAGGGTTTAATTAAACTGCGTCGAAGCAGAGGCCCATCTCTTGCCGTTGCCTTAAAATCTCGCAAACGTTCCTCCCGCTGACTTCCACTCAGAGGACGTCGACGTCCTGAAGAGCAAGGAGGCGAGGCAGCAAGCGCAGCATCCAGCTCTTCTGTGTCAACCGGCGGCTGCTTGAGAGAAAACAGCACCTGAGTGAAGTGGAGCGCCTATTGACACCCATTACGACACAGAGAGAAATTAGGTCACAAGTAAGTGTTCTACACTGTAAGGCAAATGAGAATAAAAAAAAAAAAGAAAGAGAGCAAACATAACCTGAGTTTGTTTCGACCTGGATCGGACTGATTTAAAAACCGGCTGCTGGAACCAAAAATCCTTCTATTTAAAATATCAGAGCATAAGTACAAGACACGGGAAAAGGTGTTTTCAAAACATCTTTGATGGCAGTGTTCCTTTCTGAATTTAGCCCTCGTTTCCCGTTGTGAGCTCATGGGAATCCAGCACTAGACCTCATAATCAATATACAGTCATTGCCAGTAACTTAGAATATCATTCAAATAAGGCTCATTTGTCAGGTTAGAAGTACTGTTTGAAAATAACAACCTTTAAGTAGGTATTTATTATAATTTTTGTTAGGCTCACATATCTGTATTTAAATATTTATTTTGGTCAGGTGTATAGTTACATGTTTGTTTGTTTTTTTTTTACTGTAAGTAGAAAATCCTCATAATTAACAAAAAATAAAGGCTTTAAAAACATCAGTAAGTGTGTGATTAATATAATCACTTAGTGAATTTAGTGAAATAAACTATACTAGTAGTAATATTCTAATTTATTGAATGTATGACGTGCACATGGAGAACTTTGTTACAAATCTGCCCTAGCATTTTAATTCTTCATATAAGATTTTTTTTTTTAAATGTAAGTTTTGACTTCACTGAATTTATGAATTCTCATTCTTCACACTAAGAGAACAAAACTATAGTTTTTTTTTTTTTTTTGTAGTTTCCTTAAAGATGTGCCTTTTGTAAATACAAGAATACGAAAGGTAATTTCTGACAAAATGACCAGGTTTTGTAGCTACTTCTGTAAAGTGTGAAATCAGTCAATGTTAACAACAGGCAGACAACCCACTTGTTAGCTTGTCAGCAGGGTAGGTAAAACCTCGATGGTTAGGAAACAAGCTGGGATGCTCTCTAACCTTTTATGGAACAAGCTATCAAGCTATTTTATGTACTTATCTTGCTAGCAGGCTAAAAATAAGCCGGCATGGTATCAGGCTGGCTAGTTGCACAGTTAAACTAGTGAGTTCACCAATTTTTTTGGTTGGCTTGCTAAAATTGGGGTTTATAATTCAAATTTAAAAAAAATTCAATAATCCTACAGGGAAATAAAATGTTGTATCTCATATAGTTTTTTTTTTTTTTTTTTTTTTCAAAATTTTTTTTCAGATTTTGCTGACTGTGGGAATGCCGGAACTCCTGTAGCAGTCTGTAATACAGTGATCTGAACAAGCCTCTGACAGAATACACTGCTGTTGTATAACAGTCTCATGAAAATGATTCTCAGAGGTTTCCCAAGTATTTTTAATTTTCTTAAAAAATCATTTTGTTGCACAATAATGTCCAGATGTTCCACAGTGGTCCCAAGAACAGACTTAGCCTGGTTCTCATCCTGACGCCCCAAAGGTTTACACTCTGCACAGCAGACTTACAAAATCCATGCAGTATCCTGCTGCAAAACATGAAGGACTTAAGCTTCCCCAAGAAGCACAGCTTGCTCTGTCCATTCTTCCAAACAGTTTTACTGTTGCAATTCTGGTCCTGGTCTGTTGCCCAGGTGAGCAATGCGGCATTTATATTCCTCAGCTTCTTCTCGAATCATTGAAATAGTGTTTGATCTGTTTCTGTTTCTCCTGAAATCTACAATCATCTGCTTTGTTTTGTGCACATTCAAGATATGATTGTTGTGCAGCTTCTTCACCATTTCTGATAGCGATGCTCTTTCAGACGACTGCAGTCACCTAAGCATTTCTGTAGATCACAAGAGTCTGTTTTGTATTGGAAGTCAGAGTTGTGCAGAATGAAAATAAATGGTGAGAGTACAGTCCCCTGTGGTGCTCCTGTACTGTTTTTTCCACCTGGTTAGACACACATCCCTTCAGTCTTACAAAATGTGGTCCGTTTGTCAGGTAGCCATTGATCCAGGTGATTGTTGAGGCCTCTACCTATCATCAGGAGTTTCTGGCAAATCAAATCAGATTGAATTGTGCTCAGTTCTCTGGAGAAATTAAAGAACATGATTCTCACAGTGTTGGAAAAAAAAGAACTTTCTAGCTATTTAGTGTGTTAAACAACTTGCTAGTAGGCATTGCTATGAGGCTAGTTAACACCCTAGTATTCTTCTTCAGAATAATCTAATTGGTTTGTTGCTGTATCGTTCACCGATTCCCAGCATATCAAACAAGCTTTCAACAGTCAACACTGTGCAGGAGTTCTCTGCTTGTTACAAAGGGAGTTTTTTTTTTTTTTTTTTTTTGCCTGTGGACAATAAAAAAAGGGGGAGTTCAAAATGATAGAGTTCTTCAGGGCTGCTAAAGAAAAAAGACATGCAAGTTTGAAAATCCTCATATTGTGGATCAGCTGTTAGACAGAGATTTAGGAGCTACTAAATTGGAGGGAGAATATTTTTCCAGTGGTGCACTCAGCAGATTAGAGGTAGAGCGAGGGGGTTGTTCTGGAGAAAGCATTCATACTTCCACCTCCAACAATTACTTGGAACACATTTATGTAAATGACTTGTTTCTCAATACAAAATCAATCAATCCTGAAACATAATTTTACATAAACCTGTTTTTTTTTTTATTTCTTTTTTTTTTTTTTTTTTTTAGGGTTTTTAAAAGGCAGCTTTTTCTTCACATTAAGAAAAATTAAACACATTTTCACATTTGAGTGAGTGGCTGTTTCTTTGTTCTTAGTGGTGTTTTGATTTTGCTCCTGTTTACCAGAGAAAAAACAACAACTATTACTTGTGCTTGTTTTCAGAATTGAGGAATTATTTATACAAGCCAAAAACAGCAGCCTTGAATTTTGTGCTTGTTTACAAGTTGGATTGGGTGCA